AATTCAGAGAAGAAGTAAGACTATAGTGAACCAGCTCGAATAGAATCCATATTGAGCGTGAGAGAGGACTTGGTATTTTTCGAGGTTTTGGGGTAATTGAATAGAGACGCGAACGAGAAATTATTCATATTAGCAGATTTTTTTTCATTGGTAGGTGTAGCAGGTGTTGCTTTGGGTGGCTGGGGAGGATGTATGATGTGGGGTCGCTGGAATATATGCAATGGTGGAGGAGAGACTGGTTGAGAAAGGTAGATAAGGAAGGGTATCGAGTGAGTTGGGTGGCGGATGTGTTGTGTGTGATGGTGGAAAGACGTAGCTTGTGGGCTGGAAGAGAGACGTGTTGAATGTATCGTCTGTGGAGTGGATGGATGTGTCGTGTGGATTGAGTGGAGAACGTGTCGTGTGAGGTGGATGGAGGTGGAAGGAGAAACGGTTTATCTTGGGTGGATAGGATTTGTATCAGGTAAGGTAGAAGAGTCGGGTGGGTCAGCGTTATGTCAAGAGAAGTGTGTGGACGACAGAGTGGAGGTTCAAGAGGTGTGATATGTAGGGTGAGTAGAGGGATGTGTTGTATAGGGTGAGTAGAGGGATGTGTTGTATAGGGTGAGTAGAGGGATGTGTTGTATAGGGTGAGTAGGGGATGTGTTGTATAGGGTGAGTAGAGAAGGAGTGGAAAATAAGTCAAACTGGGACAGGTAGAGTAAGTATTTTACGGAGCTAGTAGCGGTTGTGTTGCGTGGTTTGAGGAGGGATTTGTTACGTGAGGTGAGTGGATGATGAGTTGTATGGCCTGATTTGGTGAAGTGTTGTGTGAGATGAATAGAAGATGTATTGGGGGGGGTGAGTGAGGGTGTGTTGGCGTGGGTGGAGCGGAAGATGTGTGTTGGCGTGGACGGAGCGGAGGATGTGAGTATGGCGTGGGCGGAGCGGAGGATGTGAGTATGGCGTGGGCGGAGCGGAGGATGTGAGTATGGCGTAAATACAGGTTACGTTATGTGGCATGGGAAGATGTATAATAGTGTGTGATTTTGGGGGGGTATCTTTTGTCTGGTACGAGTAAAGATGTGTGAGGTGAGTGTAGGAGAGGGGTCGTTTGAGGTGTGTGGGGTGAGTGCAGGATGTTTTGTGTGAGGCGTGAGGGGGTGGATTGCTGTTGTAACTCGAATCTAATCATGATTGTTTAATTTTATTTGTTTTTCCTCCCATTATATGTCATCAGATCCTAATCAGAGAACAATCACTTCATTCCCTACTTGGTGCATGGTGCAATAACGGAGGCAGCGATCAGACTAATTAATATCGATATTGTATCTCTGTCTACCATTGAAAATTGAAACTTTTGTCTCTTCCTCTCTGTCATGGATAGCAAATATTCACCAATCAGTCGAGGATCGGTTTCAAACACAATTTCTCGCACGGTAACAGGGAAGCAAGGGTCGATGAAAAGTCTCCTTATCCAGGTTTGGCTGCACTCACAATTTTTTGATCATACGTTACAAATTGTACGTGGTGACGGGTTTAAAGAATTTAATCATCAATCAAGTTTCCAGGTTATTTGTATTTATTCACGGTAGTAGTGCCGTTAAGAAAGCTCTTGATTTTGTTTTTGTTTCAGGCAGTATTCACTTACTAGAACTCTGCCCTTCGAGCACTAAAGGCTGTCATTGGTTGAGAGCATCAGTCGTTGTATAGCCTGTGTGAATATCAAGGAAATTATAATTAGGTGTTTACTGCACGGAAATGGAATCGACTGAAGGAGTTAGTTTAGATTTTAGTCACACCACGAAGCAACTAATCTCACTCAGTGACATGTGATTACAGTAAGTTCTCTTATATCAGGTATACAGGTACTTTCACTACATCAACATCTTCATAAGGTTATCTTAAATATTCAGCATTTAAATTGCATGGTAAAAGCATTACAGGAATTACTGTGGTGAATTTATAGGTGTTTTGTTAATGTGAACATGGATAAGAGCTTACAGGTGCCCAGCAGCTTTCTTCTCGTATAACCCATTTAAATGGCTGCTGCACTTTTGGGCCCGGCCTTTTCTTTCCTAGAGAGTAGAACATGTACAACGTGTGGCCACCCTCGTGAAGGACGCCAGAACCCTGGAAATATATCTTGTTTGCGAGCTCGACTTGCTTGGTACCTTGACAACATAGTTAAATACACGAATGGAACTCATTAGTTTTAGTTGGCTACATATCTCGTGTGTGTCACGTTGCAGTGATGTTTCTGGAAAATGCTGCATCAAGTGCACCCATATACGGGAGTAAGGATCACCAGAATTATATGTAATTTTTCTTACATTTTATGTGATGGAAGTGACCCTTAGTATGTATTTTATCTTAATAAAACGAATATTGGAGTATTGTGCGCTTCTGTTGACTTTAATAGAAGAAAATTGGTAAATGTAAGTTATTAACAGTAAATAGACTTTCATGACAAGGCTAGAGAGACTAGAGTGTAACAGTGGTATCCCAGTGGTGGAGTAAGAGAGCGAGGCAGACCCAGTCATATGGATGACTAAGTGAGGCTTAATTTACTTGAATAATTCAGACATTTCGTTCAAAGATTTTGATCGTAGTACAAAAACACTATGTGAACAAAAACTAACTATTGCTTACCCATTCTGACACGAGACATAAAAGGACTTTACTTAATATTTACAAGAAAACACACACGAAAAAAAACAGACGAACCAATAAAATCTGAATCATATCTTGAAACTCATTCTAATTGACTCGTGACACACTTAAGACCCGACAAAAAATAAGTTCTAGACACGTTTGATATGTTGCATGGGGAGGGGGGGGAGGGGGAGAGGGGGTTTGATGGGGTAAAACGGGGTTGTGCAATATGGGGACGAGTGTTGGAAATGTCGTTTGGGTTGATTGGAGGATATGTTGTGACGAGTGAATGGATTATACATGGTTGGAGGTGATTGGGGATGTATCGGTGTATATTAGCGGGTATCTTGCACTGTGTGAATGAATGGTATAGTGTATAGAGCGCGTGGTGTGTGTGTGTGGAATGTGTGTGTGGAGTGTGTGTGGTGTGGTGTGGAGTGTGTGTGGGGTGTGGAGTATGTGTGGGGTGTGTGTGTGTGTGTGGGTGGGTGTGTGGGGTGTGTGGGGTGTGGGTGTGTGTGTGTGGGGTGTGGAGTGTGTGGTGTATAGTAAGTGAGGGGTGTGTAGTTGAAGGTAGGTGGAAGATGTGTAGAAGTTGTGTTATATGGAGTGATTGGTGATGTGTGGGTGTGTATGTGTAAGATGAGTGCAGGATGAGATGTGCAAGATACGTGAGGGCCCATTGTTCAAGTGGAGATGTGTTAATTGGTGTGAGTAAAGGATGTGTGAGCAGAGGAAAGGATGAAATAGTGTGGGGATGAGTGGGTGCTGTGTTGAGTGGCTTGAGTGGACGTGGTGGAGTATTTCAAGATGTGGCATATGATGTGAGTGGAAGGTTTATTGAGTGGGGTGAGTGGAGGATCCGCCTTGGGGGTACCTGTCGTGTTGTGGGGTAACTGTCGTGTTGTGGGGTAACTGTCGTGTTGTGGGGTAACTGTCGTGTTGTGGGGTACCTGTCGTGTTGTAGGTACCTATCGTGCTGTGGGGTACCTGTCGTGTTGTGGGGGAATTTCGTAGGGTGAGACAGTGGGTTGGGGATGTGTTGTGTTGTGTGGAGTTATTGGTAGGATGTGTTGTATGGGATGAGAAGAAGAGATGTGCTGAGCGTGTGTGAAAGTTACGTGATTGTGGAGAGAATGGCAGACCTTTAATATGGGATTGACTGAGTGATGAGTTGTGTGGAATAGGTGGAGAATGTGTTGAGTGTGATGAGAGTAGTGAGGTGGAGTGTGTGCGTGTGTGTTCTATGGAGTGAGTAGATTTGTTTGGGATGAATGGAGGATGTGTTTGTGGGAGCGAATCCGGCATGTAATTTGTGAGGTGAACGTAGAATGAGTCCTCTGGGAAAAAGAGACAAAGGTGTTGTGAGGCAGAGTAAACGGTGTATTGGGTGAGTGGAGGATTTGTCGTAGAGAATGAATAGAGGTGGTGATGATGTTTGAGGTGAGTTTCAGATATATTGGATGAGGTGAATGTTAGTTATGTTGCATGTGGTCAGTGGGAAATGATTGGCTTGGGTTGAATGGGCTTACCTAAATTTTTACTAAGATTTGAGATTACTTTTTATATATACCAATCGTACATGAATCTGGTGTACGTGTTTCTGGGTAACTGATGCTTGGGAATTAGACCTGGGGTGTATCTGTGTTTGTGGAGTGTTGTCAGTTCTGTAGATCATAAGCCTTCATAAGACCTTTGGGTTTTTCTTCCACAGTAAATGGGTTCAACGTGAGGTTATATGTAAAGATATTTGTTATAATAATAGGTAAATCGGGACACTACAGGGAAATAAGTCAACATTTCCACGAATATTGTAATCCTGTTTCGGAATTGTTTGTTTGTAATTTCGTCGACAGTCTTGTTCAATGGCAAATCAACAATTGGATACAGGTTTGCCATCTCATTCGCCATCTGAGAATATCGCTTCCTATCTATAATTTCGGTGATGATTCTACCTGGTAATAACCATTGTCTCGTGTGTTGATCTCTTGCCAAATGTATAAACCAGATTTTTCAATGAAATATACAAGATCCCGGAGATATTTATGAACTCTTAAAGTGAATTCAGCGTTTTTATTCCTAATATTGATATAGGAGTTCTATCTCTGTTCTATCGAATTTAAGGTGCGCGACCCTTATAAGTTACATATGAACGTATTTCGTGTTCATAAATCATTATCAAAATATAGTGAGATAATATAAAGCTCAAATTATAGCAGAAGGAAAGTGTTGAGTTTTGCATCGATACCTTGAATAAGGTTAAAACGATGACGTTTTCCCTCGGCAGGAGGTGACATGTGGCAACCCACCGCCACGGCTGAGGACTTGCGTTGGGCGTGTCTGGTCCGTCAGTAGTTCCTCGGCGCTTGTTGAGTGCATCTGTGTTGGTTGTCCCCACTAGACGTTAGCCTGTTCTTGCTGGACCTTAGCGCACTCGACGACGAATCTGTTTGATAAATGATTCCCATTGATAATACACGTTACGACGATTGTTTGGTGTTGCTGTTTAGTAATTTGAATAACTGACTAGATGAACCGTAGTAGAACTGATATAAATGGAAAAGAGAAATCAGATGTAAATTATAAATGATCGTAATTGGCTCTTTGTACTAACACCTATTATTTTGTGGTTATCACCTGTATAAAGCAGTATCATTTGCCTGTGGACTAACAAACACGAAGGAAGTTAAAGATATGTCAGATGTTCAGTTGTGAAGGTAGAAACTGGCTGTAGTGCTTGTCAGAAACATGAATCAAACTGGTTAAGCAGTAGTGTGTTGTATCTAGAACCATATTGCTTGTGGCTTCTTCTTGAACAGATATGAAGGTAAGTACTATTGTCCTCTCTGTGTTATTATTACACCAATGATCGAACATGTACTCTGAAAATGTGTGTTTTATTCGCTTTATAAGGTATGGGTCATGTGCACTGAGCACTGTCATCCTGTAAGTAATTATTGTATGTTTTACGTGTTTACCAAGTACTTTAGATGCAAATTATCTCTTTCGGGAGTTTTCGCTTACTCCTTAAACGCATGAGCTAACCCTTGGTATCCTATTGACCGAGTCACTACCCAGAAGTTTGCTTACGTGCGCTACGTGTTAATAAAAATTAAGAACATCACCCCCTTACGATTAATATTTATATTGTAAATTGACGTAACACACACACGTAAGTTTTATATATATATATATATATATATATATATATATATATATATATATATATATATATATATATATATATATATATATATATATATATATATATATAACATCGTCGTCTCTAAAGATTTTCGATATTTTAGTGGTAACAACGTAGGACATTATTGATAATATTCGCAGTGGAAAGTCAGTTTACATTGGTTCCTCATCCTGTTAAGGCTACACAGCTATTTAAGGTAATATGGCATGAAAGATGTTGATGGAAATATCATTGTACATGTCTCCCATTTTAAAAACATGAATTAATAACATAACATAATAAAATGCCATATCCGACATTTCTCATAAGTAATTTATTTATTAAAACTTATTAAACATTAATATATTCAATAAAAGTTCCAATTAGTTGCCCAATATATAATACAATGAATGTTACCTGGGAAAGGATCTTGCTGCTGGGTGAGCCATCGACGTGTACTCCATTATGAACATTACATCCATTGTAATTATGGTGCAAAATCATGACGTGAAAACAATGCGACGATTATTTGCCATCTATAATGTTTCTTTCAAGGGATACGCCACATTAACCCTGACTTACCAACTCTTCTGAACATTTTTAGGAAGCTGAACGAAGGACTGTAAAGAAACATTTATTTTTAGAGAATTCCATCAAAACTTAGTGGCGTTGTTGCTCGCCAGACGCCCGCCGACGGCTCCATCTTTTCACTCCACCATAAAACGTGTCTTTTTTTTTTTAACTCTGAACTCTCTGGAAGCAGCAAAATAATCCTCATTGTGAAACGTAATATCCGCACGCGGCTAGTTTCATTTTCGATGTTCTTCATCCCTCAACAATTACGCTCTCATCTGAATTTCAAATGCGGGCGTGAATTTGATCGGAAGGCACAAGGCCCCGGCAGAGACGATTAACAGCGACCTCGGGGATGTCTGATCACCCCGAAGGTCGCTATTTATTAACATCAAATTGATGGCAGTATTGGTTGATTTATACATGTATTTTACTTTTATTATATTTTTTTTAGATATACAATTTCTTTCCATCGATTAAAAGCATTTAATTACTCAAGTTTTCCCGATTGAATGAAAACACACATACAAAAAATCCTCAGATGTTGAACGGTAGTGTGGGACATTTTCAAAGCGGCTTCTTGCCTTGAATCATAGGAGTGTCCTCATAGTTTAGAAACGAAATCAGTATATAAACAAAGTACAGTATAGTGATGTTAAAGATGGTTTTGCCTCCTGATTGGGACTACACCCGCGCGTTTGTTAATGCCTCGCGGTATTCCAGATATAAACAAGTTTTCCCAAGAGGTTATGTTATCATGTCCAGAGTACCTTGGGTGATGTTAGACTTAAAGATAATTTGCACATGAAAATCATGTTTAATATTCTTGATATTTAATGGATAAGAAATTGATTTAATTGCTGAAAGGATTCTTTCTTTGCCAACAATTCGTTGTCCACGTTAGTAATTGTGATGAGTAAATATAGTTATATATTTCTGAGAGTTGAGTGACATACTTCCAGGGTTGACTCCTCGCGCCCGTCACTTCTGGCAATAAGCTAAGGAGTCACCAGGGAATGGCTGCCGCTCTGCATTGGCTTCAATTTTGGAGTTTGATGCTTAACCTATTTGTATTAGTATGTGTACGGTCTGTACGTCTTTACCTCACGATGCAGATAACGTGGCCAGGATTTATTAATGTAAAGTCGGGGGAACTCGTGAGGCTCGGAGAGCTTTATTTTCTCCTGTGAGAATCGGAGAGTTTTGTTGTTTTAAGACCTGTAATATTGCTTGGGAGGCTCGGAGGGCTTTGTTGTGTTTCAAAACAAACGACTTATCTCTGGTGAGGCTCTGAGCGCTCACTTGTGATTTTCAACCTCGGACACATCCCCTTGAAGGCTCGTAGAGCTCTGTTGCGATTTTGAACCTAGACATATTCTCTGTGAGGCTGAGAAAACACTGGTGTTTTTGTCAATAAGGACATAAAATTATATTTGTTTAACCTTGGAGAATTCTTGAAGGTTTTTTCTTCAACTAGAGTATGTAGTCTGAGGAGCTGTGAAAGTTGTGTTGTTTTTCAGCTCTGGTTATATGAAGTCTTGGAGAGCACTGATAATATTCTCAGCAATGA